AATGAGATGAAATGAAATACTTTTTTGAAGAATTATAATTAAAAAAAACATATTATTATGTTGTTTAGCATTAAATTTTTATTAAAAATGAATAGCTTTTTAAATAATAATATTTAGTGAAAACTAACGCTTTTGGTCTCTGAATTATTTTATTTTTAAAAATTTGACACCTGTAAGTTAATTTTAACAAATTTAGCTCATTAGTTGTAACAGTCTTCACATATACTACTTTGTAAAAAATCTGGAGTGTTTCATATATATATATTTAGGATCATATGAGAATACTTGCTTAGGTGAGAACGTGATCGAGAACATGCAAATCTTGTGCATCAATCTAATTAATTTTAATGGTCTAGATTAAGTATGTGCGAACGCGCTTAAGTTTGTGCAAATGTGATTGATCTAGGTAATGTTGTGAGATCAAATCTTGTACATCAATCTAATAAATTTAATGGTCTAGATTGATCTAAATTAAGTGTGTGCGAACGCGATTGATCTTGACCATAATATTAAATACTATTAGATGGATGCACACGAACGTTTGAATTTGAAACCTTGTAATATTAAATACTATTAGATGGATGCACACGAACGTTTGAATTTGAAACCTTGTAATATTAAATACTATTAGATGGATGCACACGAACGTTTGAATTTGAAACCTTGTAATATTAAATACTATTAGATGGATGCACACGAACGTTTGAATTTGAAACCTTGTAATATTAAATACTATTAGATGGATGCACACGAACGTTTGAATTTGAAACCTTGTAGTTATCAAGCCAATAACCCTACCAACTCAACTAGAGTTACTCCTATCCCATTTTGCATGTTTACTATCCCTAGTACTTTTAATGAAATTTCTGAATATATATATATATATGCCAATACTAAACTTAATATTATGAAAAATTAAATTAAAAATAACTTTAGCCAAGTTTCACTAATCGAATGAACCGGACAAACAAAATGAATAAAGAATGTATTAAATTATAAACGATGCTATTTGAGACCAGGGTCCACCACCCTGGTCGATGATATAAATTGCGCATATTATGGCACTTGAACTGGGCCACGTGACATTTCTAACTGCCAATATAATTCACATCTACAACAAAGCCCCTTTTTCACATCACATGTTTGGACCTGTCTCTTTTGACAAATAAAATCAATATACACAACTGATTTGATTATAAAATCTTCATCGTCTTAGTTTAATTTTTCAAAATATAAGTTTTATTTTTTATTTTTTATTTTTATTATTATTATTTTTTTTTTTGCAAAATATAAGTTTGACATAAAGTAAATTATGCTTCAAAAGTTGCTATTTTGAGATTCAATTCACAATATAATTCAAACATGTTATGGTAGGATTATTATTTTTATAACTCAAGTTATGATGCTAAATGATATAATAAACAAATTATTTGCATCTCTCACACACACAAAAAGATTGAAAACAAAAATTTAAAAAAAAAAATAAAAAATTTGACACTTAGAACTTTTGACATGCGCCTCGAAAGAATCCTCCTAATCCATGGCACTCACATCCAAGTGAGAAAAAATATAACCTTTAGTCGTCTCCTTACACCATTTACTAAATCAAGAACAAGATGTCTCCTTATACCATTTATTCAGTGTATATCCTCATATAATGGGAGTATTTGGTAAATAGTTGTTAGCTGATTGGATTAATGGATTTGATTAGTTGATAGCATTAGCTGATTGTAAATAAATAAAAAAAATGTTTGGTAAATTAGCTGATAGTTGATTACATGCAAAATGAATTTCTCAAAAAGTTTATTGAAAAAAATTATTTTGAGCAGTTTTTTTTTTTAATTAATCAAACACTTATATTAGTTGTTTAACCGAGTCAAACAACTAATAGTGTTCAAATAAGTTAAAATTGACTGATAAGCTAACTATGTTACCAAACAAGACCTGCAAGATTCCCTCGTCATCCCAAAAAACAAAACATGAGGTGTCTTCGTATAGCAAAACTACTTCCTCTTGGTTACACCCTTTTAGTTTGTTGTACATGGTATATTAATTACTTCAATTCTAACATGAATAATTGCCTTGGTGTAGTGTGTTGTGAAATGTGAACCACACTCATCCTACAACAACTTAATTAATCCCTTAATTAGGGTGAAGGAATATAATCCTTGTCCAACTAAGATCCATTATATTATAGAATTAAGTAACAAACATTCGTGAACTAACCCAAGTTCAATTCCATGAAATATATCCCCAAGAAGCAAGTTGTCCTATTGTATGTACCAATTGCCATTTAGTTAATAAGGCTGCAGATATTGAGGTACAACAACTGCTACTTCCCAATACTATATTTGAAGCATGTTCTAATCCTTATGATATGCTACTGAAATGCAACTGAAATTAAAGGTATAGATTTATTTTAGTATAGTAATATATTGTAGGTTTATTTTTTGCATATAGAACAGTAAAAACGAATTTGTATCAAAATATAGTCAACATATTAAAAATAAATCAATAATACACTAAAAATAAACATGTATCATAGTTCACCTTGTCAATTGGACCCCGAAATCAACTCATTTCTTACTCTCTTCACAATTCTATCACAATTTAGGTGTTTAGTTCAGTTAACTAGATTTACCTGAAGTTATTTACAGAGTTAATTTCATTTGTTGTCCTATATTTATAGGTAACAGTCCACTTTTAGTCTTTTTTTCAAAACATCTACTTTTGATCCTAGTATTATTGTGGCATGATCATTTTTGGTCCTCCATCAACAAAATAGTTTAAACTTCGTCAAATACACGAGCATTTCAGTCTTCAATTTTGATTTTTTTCAAAAAAATAAACATAAAAAAATAGTGGGTCAACCTACTTTGTATAAAAAAGATCGAAATGTCCTTGTATTTTAAGGCATTTCAATAATTTTCTTGACGGATGACCAAAAATGGTCATATAACAATAATACTACGACCAAATGAGGACGTTCTGATAAAAAATTGTTGGAAAAAATAGCTTAAAATGGCATGTTAAGTGGCTATTTTGTGGTACAATTATCAGTGGGGTCCACTTCCTATTTGGGTCGGGTCAAAGTGGATTCGGATTCTTCGTAGTGAGACAAAGAGATCGATATATTGTACGCTCAAGCCCGAGCTCGTGTGCACCGGCACCTGCGGGCACGAGGGGTAAGGTCGAAAGTTGAGACCAACCATGTACGCCAACGGTCTGGACTATTATGGGGATTGAATTCATCTGTTACGGAATTAATATCTAACTCCAATTCTGAATTCAATTCCCAGGTAGTGGCCTGCTGTTATAGCTGTTGGAAGGCAGCTTTAATGTCATTTTTAATTGCCATAATAAAGGCTATTGGCTCCTTCAACCCTATATAAAGAGGGTAGAGGCAGTGGAGTTTTACACACACAGAAATATAGAACACAAAAGTTCTTCCTTTTAGCCTCAAAACCTCTCTGTTTCTACTCCTTCTTTAGCCTCCTGTGTTCATAGCCGTGTCTTGCTCGCCGGATTCCTTGTTTGAGTGCTCAACCATTGAATCACTAGCAAGTTTTATCCTGGGAAGCCTAGGCCACAACGCTCCTAGCATCTTTGGGAGGTGGCAAATAAGGTTTTAAGGAAAGAGTGCTCACTCGACTCTTGCAAAAACCCAACACCAAACACTAGCCAAATTTCTTCATCTTTTCTTCCCTTCTTTCCAGAAAATAATAGTCAATTTTATTTGATTATTATTTATTTTCCTACCAACGGTTCCAACAAAAATGACTAAAAGTGAACTGTTTTATAGGACTAAAAATGGAATTAACTCTTATTTACAATTCAAATTTTCGTAATATTTAATTTAGTATCTGTATATAAAATTTATATATTTAGAAATTACGTTAAATATGTTATTTGTTATTCATTATAAAGAGACAAATTCAAAAACTATTAAAAATATTTTTTTAAAAAAGAAATAATTGAATTAACAAAAACAATACGGAGTAATAAATAAATAAGACAGATAAAATATCAAAGTGGAAGTGCATTTAGGAAAGACTGGAAAGTAACACCATGTGACCTTAGCTTGTACAGTCTCTTCCAACTCCTTGTCGTTAGGTTCAAGAAACTAACTTTAATTTACTTGCTACGTACGACTAAGGGTCCGTTTGGAAAGCAGGAAAATGACTTCTGGAAAATGACTTCTGGAAAATGAGTCATTTTCCAAAAGTCATTTTCTTTTCTGGTGTTTGGCTGCAAAATGGAAAACTGTCTTTTGGTGTTTGGCTCATTTTCTGGAAATGATATAGAATTGTATAATTAAACATTTTAAATAATTAATTATTTTGTTTAAAATATATAACATTTACAATAATATTATAAATAATAATATTTATTAATAAAATCAAATAATATTATTTAATAAAAAAAATTAAAAAAAAAAAAAGAAAACAACAAAACAAAAAAAAAAGGCGGAAACCAGAGAGTTGTACTCTCTGGTTTCCGCCATTCTCTCTGGCTTCCGGCCTGAAAGGCGGAAACCAGAGAGCTCTCTGGTTTCCGCGGCCGGAAGCCAGAGAGAAGATCTCTGGTTTCCGGCGGAAACCAGGGAGAAGCTCTCTGGTTTCCGGCGGAAACCAGAGAGAGCTTTCTCGCTGGTTTCCGCCGGAAACCAGAGAACTTTTCTCTGGTTTCCGGCCAGAAACCAGTGAAGGTATCTCTCTGGTTTCCGCCGGAAACCAGAGAACTTTTCTGGTTTCCGGCCAGAAACCAGTGAAGGTATGGTGTTGTTGAAGGAGGAAGTCTGGCTTTGGTGTGTGTGTTTAGAAGATGGAAAATGACTTCCCCCAAAAAAAAGGGGAAGTCATTTTCCGGAAAATAGGTGTGATTTTCCATTGACCATAAGTTGTTTTCCATTGACTTTCATTTTCCTTGCGTAGCCAAACACCAGAAACCCGGAAAATGATTTCCAGAAATCATTTTCCGGGTTTCCAAACACACCCTAATTTTACAAAACCAAAATTTTCATTCCTATACTAAGTTAACTTCATTATATCCAAATAAACCCATACGTAAAATGTTTCAAAACATCTTTCGGATTCAAAAGTAAGAGTGAACAAAATTTCTTGAGACAAAAAGTAACGATATGATTATATATATAATATATCTACAAAATTATTGTCGTACGATGATTATTTCTCTCAAGAAATCCATCCAACACCACCTTCTTCTTCCTCTCCGCCGAGCTGAAACGGAGGGCGTCGTTAGAAACCCCACCGTCGTCGCTCCGCCGTGCAGTTTCCGGCGGTTCTTCATTTCTCTTGATTCGTGGCACGAAATAGAACCATGCAGCCGTACAAACGATGGCGCATAATCTCCCCCAAAGCAACATTATTATTAAAATCACCATTAACATCAACATTCCGTATGTAGAATCTTGGTTTCTCGTCGAGTCAATGTTGCTTTCGGAATGAACGCCGCCGTGGGCCGCCGTGTTCGCCGGTTTTTTCTTCTTTATTTGTGACTTTCCGGCTGAGGAGTCGCGGCTGAGCACGGCCTTGTCGTCCGTTGCTCCGGCTCCGGCTGAGATGTTTTTCTTGGATGCCTTTTTATGAATCGTGAGATTTTCCGTGGAGTTCGAGTGATCTGAGGTTTTGGTTTTCTCGAAGATGATGCTCTCAGTTTTATCGTACCTGCTAGCCTGAAACCGATTCGATCAAGTACATCAGTTTACTAAGTTCCTAGATTTCCACAAACTGCCAAAAATAGAAAATTAAAGAAAAATGGGTAAAAATTCAGGTATTTTTTTAATACATTAATTTTTTTGAGTTGCTGAATGAAGTAAATTCCTAGTAGTTTAAACAATTTCTTAATTAAGAAAGTTTAAAGGCCCCTTAAGATATTTAATCAGATGGTTTATTGTTAATTTCCGGGGTAAAAATTAAGATATTTAATGTTGGTGAAGAATCAAAAGCAATTCATTTAGGTATATGGGAGGAAGATTAACATACCTTACTGGTCTTATGAAGGATAGTTTCTCCGGCGGGAACCAGCGGAGGACTTACGGCGGCGGCGGCAGGAGCCGCCGGAAGTTGGCGGTTTTTGGAAGAGGTCTTCTTGATCTTACCACTATCTGACTTGACAATAACATGAATTTCTTTGCTGCGGTTGACCTCATCATCAGCCGGCGCCGCCGTGGCGTCGGCTATGGGAACAGTTTTGGCGGCAGATTTCTGCTTCCGGCACAGTGAAAGGCTAAGCCATAATCTTCTCCTCTTGCCGGCGGCGGAGGGCGGGGATTTGGGTTTATCAGTACCGGAAGACAGATTATGATCATCCCGGCGGCGGCCTGAAAATCCAAAGCAACGAAGAACGGTGATTTTGTTTGGAGGTTTCTTCTTCTTCTTCTTGGGGCTATCTTGGATGTGGTGAGCCATGGAAGCGTGTGGAAAAAAGTTGCAGCATGGAATTGAAGGTTTGATTATATGATGATATGTACAGTACTTGAGAATTTGTTTGTTGAGTTTTCTTTCTTGGTATAGCCACTGCCCCTTTTTATATGTAAAATTATCTATGGTCATTGGTCAATTGTTCTGGCCCATGACAAATTATTTTGTAGACCCCAGTCTAAATATTCACAATTTATCTTTTAAAAATTTATAATTTGTATACTACAAATGTTAATGTATATGTAATTGATTATCTTGTTTTGTATTGACAAATTTCTTTAAAAAATTACAGTCATACAATATTATCATATTGAAATTTAATGACCATGTATTGTATTCACGTTGCAATGTGGCCCGGTCTCTCCAGGGTCTATTTATAATTCTGCCTTGCATTGTTTGATTATGGATTAGGATTTGAATATTATATATATTATTATAATTTAAATCTATGTATACTACTGGTACAATCTTTTAAGTTAAATTTATTTGTTGAGGAGTCTTGGGTTATGCAATGTCGTCATCGGGAGTACTGTGTCACCAGAAATTTTATTGTCAAACTAAAACAAAAATATTGAATTATGTATATTTATTTATTTTGAAGCCTCAAATTATGTCATATATAAAAGTAAAATAAAATAAAATAAAAGCTATAAGCTATAACTTATTTTAAACTACTAATAAGCTATAAGCTCTGTTTGGTAATGTTATCAAAATAAGCTCATAGCTTAAAATAAGAGCTTATTTTGAAACGTTACCTTTTCAAAATAAGTTACTCGCTTCCTAACATTTTTTCCATTGTTATCTTTATTATTTTTAAGAAATTATATACTCTACCCTTCTCAATTAAAACATTTTTTCTCTTCCCAATTAATTTAAAATGTTAATTTTAATATGTAAACAAACTACTTTAACTTTTTTGAAGATATCATTTTTAGTCTTTTTACATTTATCAGCTTATCAAAAAGTTAATTTTACCAAACATTTTCAATCATAATAGCTAGTTTAACAGTTCTTCAGTTTTCAGCTCCTAACTTATATAGCATTTCAGCTTTCAGCTCCTAGCTTATAGTTTTTCAGCTAGGTTTGCCAAACAGAACCGTTATTTTTTAAAGTTTTATCACATACGAATTAATTAATCTTGGTATACGATATTAGTTGATTATCAGTCGAGAAATTACCAAAATATAAAAATTTGAATTATGCATTTTTATTTTGAAGTCAACTCATATATAAAAAGTTAAATATCTTTTTTATTATGATATTTTCTTTATTGTTTTCTCACTTTTCTTAATTGCCTTTGGGTCAAGACTCTCCAAGATCATCACATGACTCTGTACTTTTTTAATAAGAAAAATATATACATACATACATTAAAAAGAAAAGAAGAATTTAGTTATAGACTAAGTCAAAGGGGGGCTATATGATGTGATTTCATGTTAATTTTCAAAGTATTAATTGATGAATTGTTTTGGGTAGGAGTGGAGTAGAGTACACAGGTTTGGTTGTCCCAGTCTTCCTTCCTACACGTTTTCACCCTCTCCAAGTTTCCCCCCAAATCCTACGTTTCCCTTTCCCCGAAACTGTTCTGTATATTTCAGGAAATTGCTATGTTTCTTTCTTTATCAACAATTTCAAATCATTTCATGGAAAAGGTAATTTTTTTTATTAATGTTATTCAATTTTATTTTATTTGCAACTAACTACGCGTACTGCTAGACATTCTCATCCAAAATATAATCCTAAAATATTAAAAGCCAATGTTATATATAGAGTGTCAAAATCTCCTATGAAACAGTTGAAACTGATCTTCATTTGTAAAACGGGTCCTGTTATTCATAAATATTACAAACTGTCTCATAAGTGACTCCTATAATATTATATTTTAATTTTAAAGTATTACATTTTTTATTAAAAGTATTACGTTTTTCCATAAATATTAAACTTTAATTTTTCTCTCATTAAGTAACAATCAATCAATTTATTCATAATTAATATTAATATTACACTTTTTTTTGTAGGTAATTATTCAACCCCTAAATTTTACATTTTTATTTAACAGTATTACATTTTTTTCTTATAAGTAACGATTAATTTATTTTTATTTAATATTACATTTTTTAGCATAAGTATTACATTTTCATCTAAATCTGACTCAATCTCACAAAATAGGAGACTCTATCACCCTCTTATAATTCTCTATTAATATTACTTTCTAATATTTACGATTTGAATTCTATGTATTCTCACTTTATTTCTACTCTCTAAAAATTAAATATGTCAATTAAACGTCAATGTGGTATTTATAGGAGTTTGGAGGAGACAAATACCAGGAAGTTGGCATGTACGACACGTCGACACGTGTCCTTCATACACTCGGAGGTCTCAAAGACTAATAAGAGACGCTCACGTGTAACGAAATATCTGACTGACCAATAGCTATCATACCCAATTTGGATGTTACTATTGCTGCTCGTCTCTTATTACTTATCATATACAATCGAGGGGCCTTAGTCGAGCAGTCAGGTCGGGGCCGGGCACAAAGGTCTTGGAGCAAAGACTTATTAAGCTAAGGAACCTTGCCTTCAGGTTGGGTTGAGTGAGTACTCTCGGTCGTCACACATGCTTGCCTTAAAATTAAACCTTATTCACTAGGTTAGGTTTCCCAAGATAAAAATATAGTTCGACTTAAATAGTTGAGCACTCAAACTGAAAAAAAGGAAGAACAGATGAAGACGTGTATGCAAGTGCACACGAATCAAGCCTTGTTAGGCTCAATTTTACAATTTGATTCACACCCCTGTGCGCGAAAGAAAGCCCATGTGCTATTCAATTCAAGCTCATCTAAAAAGGGAGTTGTATTTGTACTAGTGCAAACCTACTTCAATTTTTCAATATGGGACAAATACTTCTTTTAAGCCTTCCCATAACCATATTTCCAACTCAAATAGCATTCTTTGAGAATCGATTTTTCATTCACCATTATCTGTTTTGAACGTATAATATATCAATTTCTTTGTCTTACTTAGAAAAGGACGAATCCACTTTGATCCGACCTAAATCAGAAATAGTGGATCTCACTGATATTTGTACTACAAAATAGTCACTTAAATGTTATTTTTACTAAAATTTCCAACATATTATTTAGTTATGGTTATGTAAAATTTTTGGTTATTAATTGAAAATTGATTGTTACACACCCAACTCCCTAATGTGTTGGGTGATTGATTGCTTTTTCCCTTTTGTCATTACACATGTGACCAAAGTATACACTTTTTATTTACAAAAAAAAAAAAAAGTATATAATTAATATTCTATTATTCACTTTTTTTTTTTTTACATGTCATCATTATTGTCTTAATTTTTTATATTTAATTATTGTGTTGGGTGTTTTTAACCTCAATGATGGGGTCAATCAATCCAAATCTAACTAATAAAAATAAAATTTTACTTTAAATCGATAAGAGTAATCAGTTTGAAATTGATCGATAAACTCTTTCTGTTACAACAATAGTAACCTATAGAAATAGGTAATTCAAAACACTTTTATACAATAGGCTAAGCTAAGTCTACTCTAACTACAGCCACTCATATATTAACCATATAATATAACAATTCATTACTATCATTATTAACAAAATCTTGTAATAATATCAAAGAGGAATATTTAGCAGTGATTTTAATATGAAAAAAAAAATGGCATCTTTTAAGTGGTAATGTAAATGAGTGTTAGTGCATGTGTTTATAGAAGAAATTAAATAAAATAGACTCTTTGTTAAACCTATGGATCGAACATGTTAGTTTATGATTAATTAGATTTAAATAAATTACCTCAAAATATTTTGTTTACAATAATATTTATATTGATTAGTTATAATGGTTGAATAACGAAAGTCTTAAGTCTTATGCCTCTCGATAATATTTATAAATACTTTTATCCCATATGAAATGAGTGCTCACTAAGCAATCAAATAGGTATTATAAAATATAATATTATTGTCAAATTCACAGTTAGGGTGTAAGCACATACGTATTAGTTATAACGAATAAGGTAATCAAATATAATACAATATGAGATAATAGCAAATTATTACGGAGTATCTACTTCATATGTACACATAATTAATTTCTCATTCATTCGCTAATATTTTTGAGCGTATATAAATATATAAAATTTATCTTCTAATACAAATTCACTTTAACCCGATTCAAATTCACGAATCTATAGTCAACTCAATGCATAAATTTTTAGTGGTGTTAGATAGATAGTTGTTATTCATACACAAATAGACTAGTATGCACGAGTATATACTCAGCTCAGTGCACTAGTCTTCATATATACGTTCAATGTTTAATTAATTAGCTATTTGCTGGGCCTTCACCCTTTGCACTTGTATTAATACTTTCACCTAAACATGTATATATGGTGATTCTTGTAGGGTTGGAGACAAATTATTGATGAAGAGAGCATTATATTTTTGAGTGAGTTTTGTATGAGAGGGTATATTGTTCTTAAAAAATTAGCGATAGGAGCAAAGGTTATGTGTTCTCAAGTACCAAGGTATATAATCTTCTTGTGGAAATCAAGCCCAAACAAAGATTGGTGATGCATGACAAGTAACAAAACAAATAGCAAATGAAATAACACAATATAATAGGAAAGATGGAGGGGAATATAGGAAGTAGGAACTTCGATTAACCAAATCGGGAGCTTCAATTAACTTAATGATAAATGGCATTTTAATATGGAGGAAGCTTTTCTCAAAGTTCGTTATTCTATACTTTTAGAACACACAAGGACTGGACAATGACATTCTCATGACTCATAAATATCTAATAAAAGGTATTATATTTCATCAAACACATTGGTCTTGACATTCCAAACATTATTGGTCTAATATAATGATTTTTTTTTTCCATTGCAATTGATTTGATTTTTTTTTTTAAATAATCATTTGCAACCATTTTATTTTACATCCGTTGTTCCATTAAAATAATGGCAATGTACTTATTTATATGTTGCAAAAGTGTTTCCCACTAAATTTTGGCACTCTTTCTATGTTTTGCACCATATACAGTTGCAATGGACATTTTGTTCTATTA